TCTTGGTCATTTGTTACAGCAGCAACTGGAAATGAATACAGTCAGTATTTGACTTGCCTTGGGGGTTCTGGCTCTCCCCATGTTCTCCACCCATCTCTTTTTGCCTTCACTCCTTGCTAGTCCTGCCCCCACCCCACAGCTGAGTAGACCGGCGACGGATCTGATCAGATTCTTCTCTTAGGATTTTACTATTTTATTTTATTTTATTTTATTTTTTGAGTCAAAGTCTCACTCTGTTGACCAGACTGGAGTGTAGTGGCATGCTCACAGCCACCGCAGCCTCAACCTGCTTAGCTCAGGCAATCCTTCCGCCTCAGTCTTCCAAGTAGCTGGAACTACAAGCACACGCCACCACACTGAGCTAATTTTTTGATTTATTGTAGAGATGAAGTCTTACCATGTTGCCCAGGCTGGTCACAAGCCCATGGGTTCAGGCAGTTCTCTCACCTTATCCTCCCAAAGTGCTGGGATTACAGGCATGAGCCACTGCACCCAGCTTCAGGATTTTAAATAAGAGAAACAGAGGCTGAGGGCCCAACTTCCCCATGTGGCACTGCAGGCACAGTGCCTGGTATGCACAGTTCTTTAGTGGCCCATGAAGATGTCTGCTGGCCCTGTGCTATCATGGGCTAAAGGGATAAGAGGCCAGTTCATTTTAAGAGCACATTCCTTTGGCATTACCTTTGCTCTGCAAGCCCGGGCTCTTTACAGGAGAGAGACTTTGCTGAGAGGTACATCCTCCCTGAGGCGCTTCGAGAACCATCTAAGCTTGGTGGCTTGCTGGCATGGGGCCAATCCCAGCCGAGGTGCCAGTATAAGTCTGTAAAAGTCACTCATATTCAGAGCATGTGGATCGGGATGCTGAAGAATGTCTTCATGGCGGGCACCTTCCTTTACATTGGTGGTGAGTTCAGCACAGCTGCCTGAGGTTTATGTGGGCCCAGCCTCACACTCCATCCTCACTCCTCCGCCACCACTCCAGGACTCCTCCTCAGCCAGACTTGCTGTGAGTACCCCATGACGTCCCCGGTTTCTCTCCCATTAGCTCTCTTCCACTTTCTCAGACTCTCTCCAGCTTTCATCTCCCCGCTCCTCATTTTTTTTAAGAGACAGGCTAGGTTGCCCAGGCTGGTCTCGAACTCCTAGACTCAAGCAATCTTCTCACCTCAGCCTCCTGAGTAGATGAGTCTATAGACACATTCTACTGTGTCTGGTAACCTACCCATCCTATCGGGCCCAGCTAAATCTCCAACTCCTTCACGTTCTGGTTCACTCCAGGCCCCGGTGGCTTTGCCTTCTATAGACTGCGAGGATTGTAGCTTCTTAAACCCAAAAGGACATAGGGAATAGGGAGGCTGGAGTTGTTCCCTCATTCTAGGACTAAACCTACGACCCAGAAAGGTGACATGGCTTGTCTGAGTCACCAAGCAAGTTCAGGGAGTATAGCTGGAATGCTTGTTAGAATGTTCTTTCCAAAGGGCAGGATACTGCTCTCTTTTGTGACCAGGCATCTCCTCTGACAAGTAAGTATGCAAACTCTCCTTCATTCCTTTTTTTTCCTTTGACACAGCTGTGTAGCATTTTAATTCCTTTTTTTTTTTTTTTTTTTTGAGTTGGAGTCTCACTCTGTTGCCCAGGCTGCTGATTTTTTGGATTTATTGTGGAGATGAGGTCTCCCCAAGATGCTCAGGCTGGTCTCGACCTCCCAAAGTGCTGGGATTATGAGTGCAGCGCCTGGATTAGCATTTTAATTCCTTTTTTTTTTTTTTTGAGTTGGAGTCTCACTCTGTCGCCCAGACTGGAGTGCAGTGGCCGCTCCTGGTCACCACAGCCTCGACCTGCTGGGCTCCAGCGATTCTTCTGCCCCAGCCTTCCAAGTAGCTGGAACTACAGGCGTGCACTACCATGCCCGGCTGATTTTTTCAATTTATTGTAGAGATGAGGTCTCGCCAAGTTGCCCAGGCGGGTCTCGAACCTGCGGGCTCAGGCAATCCACTCACCTCAGCCTCCCAAAGCACTGGGATTACAGGCTGAGCCACGGTGCCCGGCTGCATTTTAATTCTTAAAATTTACATGTTCATTGTGATACAAAAACGAGTTTTCTGTTTGTGAAAGGCTTGATTCTATTAAGACTGATCTATAATATGTTGCACATTCTGGAATAAATACGAGTGATCAGAATTAAACTTTTCAAATGGTAGGTAAAATGATCCAGTGTTGTTCTGGGAGAGTATTGCAATAGTCATCACAAAACAACATTGCAGGCAACCCCCTCGGGTCCCCTCCCACTGTGGGAGCTTTTCTGTCCTCTCAATAAATCCTGCTTTCTCACTTAAAAAAAAAACAGCATTGCACATACCATGTAAGTGTTGTGATGCGAGGTTGATATATACTGAACAAGTATTATCCTATTTGTCTGTGAAATTCTATTTAATAACTCTGTCTTATACATGCAGATTGGGTCCCAAATCTAGATCTCTAATTCCATTGTCTTTCTTGACAATCTTTTTTTTTTTTTGAGTTGGAGTCTCTATCACCCAGGCTGGAGTGCAGTGGCGCTCTCACAGCCACCTCAACATTGACCTGCTGGGCTCAGGTGATTCTTCTGCCTCAGCCTTCCAAGTAGCTGAAACCACAGGCATGCACCACCATGCCTGGCTAATTTTTTGACTTACTGTAGAGACGAGGTCTCACCAAGTTGCCCAGGCTGGTCTCGGACCCCTGGACTCAGACAATCCTCTCACCTCCACCTCCCAAAGTGCCTTGCTTACAGGTATGAGATACCGCACCCGACTTGACAATCGTTCTTTTTAAAATAATGTTATAGAAGTTCTGAAATGTATTATGAAAAATATAACACTCATGAACCACCAGCCGATTTAAGAAATAAAGCATTACTAACAAGTTTTGCTCTTGGCAAATTCATTCTTCATCCCATTCTCTTTCCTTTCCCTTATAAACATCATCCTAAATCTAGGCATGGTAAGTTCCAGCTGCTCAGGAGGCAGAGGCAGGAGGATCCCTTGAGCCCAGGAGTTCAAGGCTGTAGTGAGCTATGCCTGTGCCTGTGAATGGCCACTACACCCCAGTCTGGACAACACATGGAGACCACATATACAAAAAAAAATCATCCAGCATTTGGCATTCCCTTGTTTGTTTTTATATTTCTACAGCATATCTGTATCTGTAAATATATATATATTTTATTTTTTTACAGGAGAATTAAAATTCAGATATCATAAAATGAACTATTTCAAAATGAACAATTCAGTGGCATTTGGCATCGTGTGGCCAACATCTTTATCTACTTCCAAAACAATGTCATTGCCTCCAAAGGGCACCCTATGCCCATTAGCAGTCACTTCTCATTTCTTTTTTTTTTTTTTTTTTTTGAGTTGGAGTCTCACTCTGTAACCCAGACTGGAGTACAGTGGCCGCTCCCGGCCACCGCAGCCTCGACCTGCTGGGCTCCGGCGATCCTTCCACCTCAGCCTTCCGAGTAGCTGGAACTACAGGCGCACGCTACCATGCCCGACTGATTTTTGATTTATTGTAGAGATGAGGTCTCGCCAAGTTGCCCAGGCAAGTCTCGAACCCACGGGCTCAGGCAATCCACTCACCTCAGCCTCCCAAAAGCGCGGGATTACAGGCTGAGCCACCGAGCCCGGCTTGCTCCTCATTTCTTCCTTGCCCCATTCCCTGGCAACTACTAAACCACTTTCTGTCTCAGTGGATTTACCTCTTCTGTATATTTTTATAAATGGAATCATACAATACTATGACTGGCCTCTTTGAGTTAGTGGACATAATGTTGTCAAGGTGCATCCACATTTTAGCATGTATCAGTGCTTTATTCCCTTGTATGGCTGAATGCTTTTCCATTGTGTGGACAGACCTTCCCACCACTAAAATAATTTAGACTAAAATTCTAAAGGTGTTAACAGCTAATGGACTGATTTAATGGAAGAAAACCAGAGGCAGAGCCATATAATCTGTGAACAGGTATAGCACATGATTAAGCGACTGGCTCTGGGTTAGGAAGTACACCAGTCACCAACCTCAGTTCTGCCACTGTCTCGCTTGTGACCTCGGGCAAGTTTCTCTACCTCTCTAAGCCCATTTCCTCATCTACAAAAGGGTGATGCTCACAGTAACTCTTCATATTGTTGTAAGGATCAAGGGAGATGACGCGTGGGGGACATTTGGCATGTATTAAGTACTCCGTAAAGAGTCACTGCGATTCTCTGTATGACTTATAAAGCAGGTGGGTGTAAGCAGGTGGCTGACCTGCCAGCCCCAGCCTTATATCAGAAGGTGCTGGTGTGTTACTCAGCCCCAAGACAAAGTTTGTGCACCCACCCAGAGTTGAGAATGATCATCTGAGAAACTGTCATATAAATTAGAGTCCATATGGCCGGGCACAGTGGCTCACACCTATAATCCCAACACTTTGGGAGGCCGAATTGAGAGGATTGCCTGAGCCCACAGGTTCAAGACCAGCCTGGGCAATTTGTTGAGATCACATCTCTGAAATAAATCAAAAAATTAGCTGGGCATGGTGGCATGTGCCTGTCGTTCCAGCTACTTGGAAGGCTGAGGCAGAAGTATCACCTGAACCCAGCAGGTTGAGGCTGCGGTGGTTGTGAGCCTGCCACTGCACTCCAACCTGGGCGACAGAGTGAGACTCCAACTTAAAAAAAAAAAAATAGAGTCCATATTAAGCAATATTAAATCATGGGATTGGAAGCAATCATTTTCCTATAGCAAGTGTGTGCCAGATGCTTTGCAAAGGAATGTGCATACATATCTCGGTTAATCCTCACCACAATCCCATGAAGTAGGTACAACTATTTTTCCCACTTTGCAGCAAGGGAAAATGAGTTACAGAGAAGCAGTTCGCCTAGCAGAGCTAGGATTTGAAAGGAAGCCACTTTCAGAGCCTATATCCCAAAGCACGACACTGTGCCTCTCACTGATGCTTTTCTGCATCTGTCATTTAGCTTTGCTTTGGTGAGTGACAAGTTGTACCAGCGGAAAGAGTCTGTCATCAGTTCTGTGCACACCAAGGTGAAAGGGATAGCAGAGGTGAAGGAGAAGGTTGTGGAGAATGAAGTGACCAAGTTGGTGCAAAGTGTCCTGGACACCGCAGATTACACCTTCCCTTTGCAGGTGAGTACCTAGCAGCATTCCCCCACGACTCATCCCTGGTCACTGTCACCAGGGCCTCATCTCCTTCCCCTGGAACCCAGAGCCTCACTCCAGAAAAACACTGGCCCTATTTAAAAAACTCTGTGAAAATCCCAACTGAGAAAACCTAAAAATTGCAAAACTGGGTCGGATCCAACAGCTCAAAGAAGATGATTCTTTACTTTATCAAGTCCTACAGGGTTTCTCAAAATAGCAGCATGTCCCAGTGCATTTAAAGCACAATTTGATTCACTCATACCTGATTTATACACAGCTTTTTAGAAGCAGAGCCACCGTCAGCGAGGTCTGCCTAGATTCAGAAGGGCAAAGAACTTTCTACCCAGAGAGCACCAGCCCTTCAACAGTGTTCACATGGCATTTTATCAACAAAAGCTGTCCCCAGGAGACCATTCTTGGGTGCATTTTGGCACAGAGAAAGGATGTGAATGACAAAGAGAGGAAAGGTGTGGGTCACAGAGAAAAGGCGTGTGACTGTCTAAAGTTGCAAGTAGAGAAAATAAAAGCAGAATTGCCAAAAAGTAGAGATTAAAGTGGGGTTGAGAATGCCAAAAAAGCAGATTGGGGGGGGGAGGGGACAAAAGGGCACGCTTGCAGCCCCAGCAAGCTAAATAGCTTTGCAAAACTCCATGAAGCCCAAGCTGTTTGTTTCTAACAGTGGATCACTCCAATCCTGCTATTGCTCGGGTGGGACGATGCCTTACTGCCCTTTAATTAAAGTCCTGAAAAATCTGAACAGCGTTCCAACGACGTCTACTCCCCCGCCCCTGCCTCCCCAGGTCTCCTGAATTTCAATGTAATGGGATTTTACCGTGGCAACATTATGAAAAGGCTGCTTTTGAGGCTGGTGTGGAAAATGACTCCTCAATCCATTTGCTCTCCCTTGGCTCAGCAGGACGGCCCATCCCGCTTTCATATTGAGCCCTCAGCTTATTCTGTCCCGATTTCTAGAAGCTTAGAAGAGTGAGAGGTTCGCCCCCAGGCGCTCAGCAAGCTGGATGGTTATAATTAAGTAGTTCTCAAAGCCCTCGCATTTCCCTTCCCCTCTCCTCCTTCTCCGCAGGGGAACTCCTTCTTTGTGATGACGAACTTTCTCAAGACAGAAGGCCAAGTGCAGGGGTTGTGTCCCGAGGTAAGGAGGGGACTCGAAAGGGAGTTGGGATCTGGGATGTATTCCAGCCCACATACTTTGATGGAGCTCCCGTCTCTCTCGTGGGATGGGGCTGGGTTGAGTGGAAGAAGGGAGAGAAGACATGGCAGGTCACTCTCCACAGTCGCCAGATCGTCTTCTGTCCCCCTTGGTCTCTGTCTCCAGTACGAGGGGGCCGTGCAGACTGGAGCCCTTCTCCCTCCATCACTGGCTCCCTTCGCAGCTTATTGCTAGCATTTCCATCACCGCACATTTCATTTAAGCCCCACGATGACTTTAGGAGGATAATGGCATTTTGCAGGTCAGAACACAGACTCGGAGAGGTTACAGGTCACACAGCTTGCAGGAGGCAGAGCCAGGATTAGAACTCGAGTGTCCTCATTCACAGCTTCTGCTGCCATAATCCACAGTGAGCCATCTGCAGGGCTGGTCCTGGGAAATATTGCCAAGCAGCTCAAGTTTGCGTTTCCGTGTCTGTATCAGGTGCACATGCTCCCAAGTCTCCCCCCAGCGTCACCACACACAGCCTTTCCCAACTTGGCTTTGCCCTCTCTCTACTCTTGACCTTCCCCTACTGCTTTCTGCAAAAACTTTCTTCCCTGTTCAAATGGTATTTGTCTTGTTCTGTCCCTTCATGGTCCTGCTCTCTGCTCCTTAAGATGAAAACTGGCTTTTCTGAGTTGCTACCAGGCATTACCTGGAACTTCACCCTCTCCTCCTCCCCCTCAGGCAACAATGCTTTGCCAGGGATGGTTCCCAACACCGAGGGAGGGAGCAGCGGCGGTGATACCCAGCCAGGTCCCCTGCCTGTGGGTAGGGCCAGCCTTGCCTTCGGAGTCGTACTTACCAGCTCACTCTGGCAACCAGGTTTATTTTCCAGAGTGACTAGGAGCTCTGGGTCCGAGGGCTCACTCCTAGTACAGACTTTGCCATCCTTTCTACCCAAACTTGAAGCCAAGACAGCATTGTCTGTCTCAATAACACTCCTCCTGAAAGAAGACCACTCTACATTTATTTCGTCCCCATCTCTCTTGACCTTGTTGCTCTGATGAATTCTCTGGCAGCCAGTCCAACTAAACTATCCCTCCCACTTTCCTTCCCAGCAGCGTTCAGTCTTCAATCCCCTCTAGGGTCTCTGTTCCTCTTTTGTCCCACACTCTGGTCCTCTCTACGCCACACTCCACTCCCATGTACACTCAAAGACGCTTTTCAAGTTATTGAGAGTTGTAAGAAAGAGAGATAGGATAGCCCAGAAATTAAGAGCCTGAGCTCAGTAACTAGACTGTTAATGGTTGAAAACTTGACTTAGCTTTGTGACCCTGAACAGATGACTTCACTTCCCAGAGCCTTGATGTGTTTACCTGTAAAATGGGACTAATAATGAAACCTAGCTCTGAGGATTGTGAAAATAAGTGAGTGAATAACTGTGACACACTTAAAACAAGGCATGGTACAGTGTAAGCACTCAATACATGCGAGCTGTTATGACTCAAATGACATGTTACTCCCCTTAGACAGGTTGTCACTCAGAGTAGTTGGAACCCAAAGGGGACTCCGTGGGGGCACTATTAGCCTAGACAACACCATGGAACTCTGGAATTTTAACCTATGCCACAAGGTGGTTTGAACTGGTCTAATTGGACCTTCATCTCCTATCTTTGCATATCAACACCCATTTTGTCTCTAGGCTTCTCAATAAATGTGACTAAGTCCCAGTTACACGCTGAAATGAATAGACATCTGTTCCAGTTATCTATTGTTGTTAAATTAACCGAACAAGGGGGGTTTAAAACAACAAGCATTTTTTTTTTTTTGAGCCAGAGTCTCACTCTGTTGCCCAGGCTGGAATGCAGTAGCATGCTCACGGCCACCACAGCATCAACCTGCTGGGCTCAGGCAATCCTTGCGCCTCAGCCTTCCAAGTGGCTGGAACTACAGGCATGCACCACCACGCCCGGCTAATTTTTTGATTTATTGTAGAGATTAGGTCTCGCCAAGTTGCCTGGGCTAGTCTCAAACCCGTGGACTCAGGCAATCCTCTCACCTTGGTCTCCCAAAGTGCTGGGATTATAGGCATGAGCCAATGCTCCCAGCCAACAACAAGCATTTTATTAACTCTCACAGTTCAGTGGTTGACTGAGCTCAGCTGTGTGGTAGTTCTGCTGGTCTCACTTGGGATCTCTCATGGAGTTACAGTTGGGGAGCAGCTGGGGTTAGTGTCATTTGGAGGTTCAACTGGCACACAGGGATTGGTGGGCATCTCTTCCTCTCCAGAAACTCTCAAAACTTCTCCTTTCTGCAAGGTCTCTCCATATCATCTCTCCAACAAGGTAGCCAAACTTTCTTTTTTTTTTTTTTTTTTTTTTTTTT